GCGATTTGGTCGCCGCGTTGCAGCAAAGTCGCCGCTTGTTTTGCGCCTTGCAATATTTCTAGTCTAATCCATGTAACAGATCCCCCTAAGCATTAGTCATGTTAAGACCGTTGCTATGGCGATGCCTTTCTATTCAATACCCAGTAATTACCACCATACAAGAGAGGGTAAGTACCGCGCACTGTTCCCATCCTGTCTGGATGGCGCTGCCTCTCATAGGCGCCTGGAAGAATTATCGCTAGATAGTAATTTCAGGGTTTTTTTTTTCCATTATAACACTTCACGGTTCGATCTAAAGAAACTTGCTATATATTTATTATGTCTAGTTTATGTCACACTTACACTGCCGGGGGGAAGGGGTCACAATGTCCGCTCACCACATCTAGAGGGACAAGTGCGACCCTGTGAAATATTACTGAGATTTCCTTAATGCGCGCACACAAGAGTCCACCAAGGAACCCAACACAGCAGAGATACCGAGGGATCCAACATCTCAGGTATTCTTCTGGAGTCATCTGATAGAATGGGTCACATGGCACCAGTGGAGCATCTAGACTGGGAGATGTGATGATTGGCTCTCTCTGCCAGGGGAGTCTACAGACGTCACATGGCCAATGCCTTGGCACTGGAATGATCAAGCATTTACCCCGTTCATGAAGATATCATATTTTAAGCTTCCATGACTTGCAAGTACAACATGTAGAGTGTTAATTATTGAAGGCATCTCCCTTAGGTCCTAGAAGAGAGGTTCTTCTGAGGCTCCTTGAGGCTGTGATCCCTAAAATTATTGGATCTTTATTGGGTCCCATAAAGGTCAGCCTGATATTTCTACGGGACCTCAAGAATGAGATTGTTAATGAAACTTTGTGGAAAGACCATCACTGCAACCTGGAGACCTCAAAGGACTTGGAGATAGCAACCCAAAATATAGTAGGCTTGGGATGGTAACTAAAATTACAAATGCTATAAGAAATTCTTTGTATGTCTTCTTCCTGAGAGCAGGTATTATACCACCCACCATCCACCATCAGCAGAACCAACATTGACAATGGGCAGCATATACTAAACCTACAGGATCTCCACCAGTCATCTACCAGATCTTCAATGTCTCCACCAGTCATCTTCATGTTCAGTAGGTGAAGTCAGTTAGGTTGTCATGATATGCACAATGCAGATATCTAGTCTGATTGAGAGTTATTTCTGAATGTTGGTCTAGTTCACTGCAGGTTCCATATTTCTCTTCACCAAGCTAAATAAACTCACAACCAGATAACTTGCCACCACCAACACTGATACGGGATAGCTATAGCACCTTACTAGCCTCTGCTGGATTAGGATCTATGATTCCTGAGGTCTCTAGTGTCTACCACCATCTACTAAACCCTCTGGTGTCCTCCACCAACTACTAGATCTCCATGTACTCCACTGTCTACCAGGATCTCTAGTGTCCTCCACTGTCTACCGGGATCTCTATTGTCCTCCACTGTCTACCGGGATCTCTAGTGTCCTCCCCTGTCTACCATGATCTCTAGTGTCCTCCCCTGTCTACCGGGATCTCTAGTGTCCTCCACTGTCTACCAGGATCTCTAGTGTCCTGCACCATCTACCAGATTTCTAGTGTTCTTGGCCAACTACCATATCTCCATGTGCTCCACTATCTATCAGGTCTCTAGTGTCCTCAACTGTCCACCAGAACCCTAGTGTCCTTTCCCAACTACCCGATCTCTAGGGTCCTGCAGTAACTACCCAATCTCTATGTGCTCCATTAATTACCAGATCTTTAGTGTCCTCCACCAATCAGATCTCTAATGTCCTCAACTATCCCCGGTATCTTAATCCTATCACATCCCAGTCTGTAGGGTTTTGATGTGATGGATTGCCAGTGTCTTCAGCCAACGTCTACAAGATCTCTCGAATCTTTGACCATCTACTGGATTTAAGATATCTACCCAATCAGTGTTCTTCCCGGCCATCCATTGTAATGATAATGCCTCCGATCAGAATGAAACGGAGATCCGCCTGATCAGCAGCCTTTGATGCCGATCACCTTTGCAATGCTTTTATATGTCACTTTAAAACATCCCCACCCCCAAATCCCCTCTGCTGGGTGGACATGGAGGGACTCTGACCTGGATCTGTTGCTGTAGGATGTTGATCTTGTGTTGCTGTTGCAGAAGTTGCTGCTGTTGTCGTGCAATCTGTGAGGAGAAAAGCAAGACATCGATATAAGACGCGGCACATAGAAACGGACGTTATAGACGCATGCACATCACATGCTGAATGGAAGAAGAAGATTCTGGATTGGTGGCAGGTTATAGAGGACCAAAGCAAGGATGACCCGGGACTTAAGGTGAACCCGCCACCAATGTTATATCTAGAAACATAAACGTTCTACTTCCCATAAGCCCCAGCAAGATGTCTTCTATTACCTCAGGTGGGCAGTAAATCTTTTCTGTAATGTCGGGGTAAACTGTGTTAAAGGAGAACAATGGGGTTCGGGCTTTTCCCCATAGTTCTCCTCAGGGTAACGGGAGGACACAAACTAGCGTCCTCCCGTTACCCTAGGCTCAGTATATAGGGAGCTGTAGCTCGCGCTATACTGAGACGCCGCAGCTGAAGCGAATACCGACAATTGTGCCGAGATCCGCCCAGCTGCATGAGTGACAGCTGGCTCTTCCTATCTAGAGGCAGAGACAGCTGTACCCGCCCCCTCCCCCGTCCATTCCGCGAGTCAACGCTGTAGCCCCCTATATCCTGAGCCTAGGGTGACGGGAGGACGCTAGTTTGTGTCCTCCCGTGACCCTTAGGAGAACTAATGGGGAAAAACACTGACCCCGTAGTTCTCCTTTAATAAAAGCTTGACTTTCCCGGGTCCTCGGAAACAACTGTAATGGATAATAAGGGGAAAGCCAAGCTTAGAGTTGTCACCAGAGTCAGAGGTGAAGAGAAGTCTTCCGGTGGGGACACCTGTCCTGGTGACAACTCTCTAAGAGTTGAATTCCTTTCCTG